TGCGGGTCGTTTGACGATCGGCATTGAAGATGCCCTTAGTGACATTAATAGTGCTCTCATTCCCAAGAAGCTTGTTCACCCCACATTAGAAACTTTTAACTCACATGTATACTTCCACCTCACATTAGTGCGAAAATCCGGGTGTATAGCAACGCTCCTGCGTATATGGTCTTTGACTTTTCTATAAAAAGGGGGAGTACCAGTCAATACTTTAATTCTTTTTAACCAGATGCAGTAGTTTTGCATTTGTGCGAGAGAAATCCTAAACATTCCTCTAACCAGATGCATGATGAGCGACTCGTGCACCCACTGCGATGTCACCTCTGTCAACACGCACATAGACATAGTACATCTGTTTCCTTTTTCTTTTGCGGGTGACATACATTTGTTCTTTCCTTGTTCAGTTGTTCGTCCTGTGGCCACACCTAAAACCGGAGATAATGTAAGGTGCATCGGTCAATTGGCATCGGTGTTAGCAATCTTGCTCTAGTTTTATGCGTTCGAGAGGACGCTGCATGACTAGAAAAGGTTTTCTCTTTTCTTCTAGGGGTGCATAGAAGAGACTTATTCGATCGGATCTGTTTCCTGGCATGATCCGTACTTTGCGTTCTTATATTCTGACTTTTTCACCACAGGCTAGCACGTTCGTGACCGCACGGTAGAGCATTGTGATTGGCATCTATCTGTATTTTCAACATAGTACGTACATGTGATCGTCGGTTCGCGGCGTTGTGAAGTATGGTTGATGCAACAAAAAGGAAATTGGAGTAAAAATTGCTTACCGACACTAGTTGTTTAGTATCCTTAACATGTTCTTGCGAGTTTCACAGAAATGTTTCAGTTAAATAATATTTGGCTCTTCCATGATTTGGAAACGTTTTCATAATACCACATATTTTTCTTAGGATTACGATAGCTACGTCCTTCACCTAGGAAAGACACTGAACGAAGTGATGATGGTAACAAGTGACACAATACACATTCTTCGATTGTCTAAAAAGCTTTAATCTTAAGCATTTCTAAAGTAAAACATTTTCAAACTTTGACTACCGGTGTCTAGACATATGGAACTAATTAAAGTTCAAATAATGAGCGAGCCAATGTGAACTGAGCATAGCTCAGATGGTTAGATTTCTTGTGGTGTAATCAGCCACCACCAGTGTTCAAGTCATAGACTTGACCGGTGCTCACATTTTTTTGGATTTATTTCACATTTTCTAGCGATGTTCGCATAGGATGTGTTCATGATATTGCGTCAAAGCCAAAACTAAAAATCCAGCCAAACTTTGTATTAACACTACATATGATTGATCTAACAATACTGATTTGGTATTGTGGATGTTGATATTTTCTATAAACCTGGTCAAACTTTAAAACAATGCGGAATAAACTTTTCAAAGTTTGACTTAAGAGAAAACCAAACCGTGAATTATTTTGAAACAATGTTTATGAAGACCTATGGAATGTATTACACTAATATCCTAATAATTATCGGTGAAATATTTTCACTGTTTGAAAGATTTTGTAGTATATGCTTTATTTTCACTAGTATCCATGTATTTCGATAGAATTTGCACCAGACTAATATCCATGTATTTAGATGGAATTTACAATAGAATGAAAAAATTTCTATACATTCTTTATACACGCCACTCGGCCATTGTGATGTCCCCATGCACGATAATAAAACTATGGAAGCTCAAATACCCCTTCAAGTGAAGATTTTCCTTTGGTTTTGAAATCAGTGGGTTGGTCTTGAATAGAGATAGCCTTACACGTCGAAATTGACATGATAGTAAGTGTTGTGTCTTTTCCCACCATGACAAGTCAATTGAACACCTATTTTTAAGTGTTAGTTTGCTCGTGTGTTGTGGTTTATTGTAGCTTCTAACATGCGCCCTCCCATAGGTGTGTAATATCTTTGGCAATTGATTGAGCGGGGTTCATAAAAAAAATCTTCACATATCCTCATGGCACGACAACCTTATGTTTGGCTCTAATGTTTTCCAGGAATGATGTGTTTTTACTAGAAAAATGTGTTGCAGATTATTCATGCATGTATATATTGGCTATGTACTTGGACTATACTGCATAAGCTAACGGACATAGACTTATGTTGACGTCTACCTGGTTAGGGCACACGGCGAGGGGGATTTTGTACCATTATGGGTGTTGGTGTAGTTTTTCCAATAGGACCTCCTACATCTTGGCCAACTCTCATTTACATTTTTTGTAGAGACACTTATTATTTTAATTTTCTCTCGGCTTGTTGGTTGTCCGTATCTTTTTTTTGCAGAGGGCGAGTTCATTGCGATTGTATCAACTCGACCTTTAGCAAAGCATATGATTTTGTTTCCATGCAACCATGATATAAATAAATGTTTTTCTGATAGTTATATAAATAAGTGTTATAAACATTTCCGCAAAAAAAAGTGTTACCAACATATGAAATTAAGCAATTTCCAATATAACTGTCTGAAGTTTATGAGAGCAATGTAATTTTCCTGGTAACAAACAAAGTACAACCGAAAGATAAAATGCCGTGACAGACATTGGTTTCTTGAAGGAAACGGGACACATATTAGAAACTTGAATAAAAAAGACGAAAATGCTAAAATCTGGCGTTCAATTTTTAGGCATGGCAAATCAAATCCACAAGATGTCAATTTAGGTTGTTGCGAGCAAACATGGCATGTCCCGGCAAAAAACTGAGCATTGTTGGATTGGATTTGCCATGCTCGCTTCATCTAGGACGTTTAATTTGCCATGCCTAAAAATTTGATGTCAATTTTTTTAGCGAAATCCAAAAAAGATTGTATATATCATAGGCATTTTAGGCCCTGTTTGGTTCAGCTTTTATCGACGGATTCCGTTGCTGCGCAGCAGAATCTGAACCAAAGGGCGAACCCAACAGAATCCGATTTCAGAAATCCGCTGCGAAAATCTGAATCAAAAGCGGAAGCAGCCCAGGACATGCTTTCCAAAATCTGATTCCGCTGCGGGCCAAAATCTGAAAAAGTTGTATCACCCGGTTTGTCAAATGAACTACATCTTTTTCACATCAGATTTTCCACAACTGTTTTTCACAACAGATTTTTCACAGCTACTTTTAAAAATTCACAGCCGAACCAAACAGGGCCTTACTGGGGAAAGTTTTACATTGCTTTTGTGCTTTGCTGCGGGGCCTAATTTAATTTAATTTAATTTAATTTTGGAAAAGGAGGATGTACCCGACATTTGCATTTGGACGATGCATGCAGCTATTTTATTAATTATTCGCAAAGACCATACAAGGTGATACATCAATAAGCCTGAAGTCACCATGTTGGCAATGTTGTTGCTATTCCTATCTCCTTGATGAAGGTGTGCCGAATGTCAGGGCCTAATACCAAACAGACATTGCACCAAAGCCTAACATCTAAAATTGGATGCCCCATTCAAGCCACTACCTGGATTAGGTCACACACTGGTCCGACACACTCCCAGTGAGCATCGTACGCTGCAAGGGCCGTCACCTCCATCTTCCATCGATCCATCCTCAGAGCAGCTCTGATGCACCGACCTTGCCAGGCCTCTCTGTCATCGACGCCACCATGACGCCAGATAGCTTCCTCCTCATGCGCGAGTCCATCTCCACGCATCGGACGCCGAGTGTCCACTGCGCCATGCCACCGAGATCCGCTGCCTGCAATGTGTAAGCTAAAGCACCGCTCCACCAAATAAGCCTTCCACTGGTCCCTCGGCCCATGTACACCTCGACGAATGACACCCCTAAGAGGGAAACGACACCATAGCGTCGTCGTCATCTGATATACTATCTAGGGTTTTCCCTGAAGGTAGCATAGAGTGGCCTTAAACTTCTCTACGGCGATGCCTTCAAGAAGGGAATGACATAAATAGCGCCGCCACCGCTAGCCTTGGCAGCTAGCCGAGAGCAGGTTTTCACCCAGATCTGTTCGAAGAGCCTCCCTCAAGCATCTCGTGCACGGACTGCCGCCATCTCTGTTGGGGACTGGACGAAAGGGATCCAGGCCACTGTCACCGCCTGACCGGCCATGGCACCACCACGGTGCCTACAGCCGGCGCCGTCAGGCCCACCACGCTCGCCTCTAGATGCACACTGGAACCGCCAGCCCGCCCAAGCCCATCTTGGAAAGACAAGACCCGCGATCCCGGCCGCCGCCACAGGGGCGTCTCCGCCGCGAGGAGGTTGCGCCTCCGCTGCCGCCACCGTCACGCATGCCGTAGGGATCCCGCCGCTCCTTGCCGCCGGATCTCCGTCGTACGATGCGCCGCCGCCGCCCGAAGATATCACCACCACCATGCGAGGGATAAGCCCCCGCCCCCTCCCCCCGCCGCCGCCATCATAGGTCAGGCTTTGCCGGTGAGACCTCAGGCGGCGGCAGGACGAAGGAGACGAGGGAAGGGGGCCTAGAGCCGGCGGTGCGATCACCCCATGTGTCGCCTAGGGTCGGCAACGCGGGGGTGGGCGAGCCTAATTTAATTAAACCTTGACACTTAAATCTAAGTTACTGGTAGTAGATGTTTGCCATTCCGTGGTTTCTAGACAATCTCTATGTTTTTCCTTGCATTTGCTTGCGTGGGGACGCGCACAGATAGAATTTCCGCTATTTATTTACTTCGTGTTATGCATTTTGATACTATAGTATGATAGTAGTAGAACATGGTACACCTATGCTTAGCCTTGCAAGGGTCTCTCTGTCCGATCAGCGGCAAGGATTTAATGACACCGTAGGTCAACGAACCCTGCCCAGAGCACACAACGGGATACGAGAATCGTTGATTAAACTAATCCCGCGCGTTAAGGCGCGTTTGAAAAGGAGAGCACACACGTACTCCGGAGTAGTATGCTTCACTTTCATTTGTAAGAAGAGTTCGGACGGCACACATAGCTCCGGAGCAACCAACTCGCCGGCGATCGGTGGCAAGCAGAGCTGGCGAAAATCGAAGCCGGTGCGAGAGCAGCAGCCGGATGCGACATGAAAGCCGGGAGCAACGAGAGCAGTAAGAAGCTCGTGAGCGGATGGGCGCTCGCGGTGTGGCTCCTGCTCCCTCTCGTCGTCCTCGTCGTGCTCAAGACCGATTGCCTGCCGCAGGTTACAGTTCGACAACTCTGTAAGTCCCCCAAGTTATAGTACGATCGACAACTCTCTTGATCTGACAGACTGGTGCATATGTTCTTCGATTCATCGTTGGTTTTTTGGTTTTCTGTTCTCAATTTTGCGGGTGCGGTGTCGTGATTTTCACCAAACCTAGCTACGGGCTTGCATGCAGCTCTCCAATGTGGGGCTGGATCTTTCCGCATTAACTGTCTTCTCCGGAGAATATTTGGTTCTTAATTTCGTGGAGGCAATTTTTGACACACCTTGATTTCGTCTGATACGCGTAGTGAATGATTATGATTTCGTGTGTGAAATTGCCTTTTTTAGTTTACTTGATACGCATACGTACTGCAGGGTTTGTGTGTTGGCTAGACGTAAAACGTACTCGTCAGTCCAAATGGAAAAAAAATGTACTCCCTCTATAAACTAATATAAGAGTGTTTAGATAACTAAAATAATAATCTAAACGCTTTTATATTAGTTTACGGAGGGAGTACTACTTATGTTAAAATCCTTTCATAAAAATCTTGATCCATATGAGAATTGAGCCGTAACAAACGAGAACTGAGCCGTAACAATGATTCGTACTACAGTACCATATTTGTTGCAGAGCGTAGCTCTCGAGGAGTAGAGATTAGTACTGATTTTTCTATACTCAATGAAATCGACCCCTCGTCCCTCCCTCACTTTGAGGTTCGATCACAATATCGATCAGGGGTCAGCATTATATCAGTGATACTTTAAGCTCACCTCTCTAGAACTCGGGGTTTGACATCGTTTTACTTCGGGGTTGTTTGGTTTGTCAAAGATTGCCATATCTAAGTTTAAACAAGTTTGATAAATTTAGGTGTGTGTTTGGTTTAAGTCACATCTTAGGCAAGTCACACTATGGTCTCACATCACATACACTTAAAAAGCGTGGCAAGATTTTCTTAGACTTGTTAACTTGTGGCTCTCATTTTAAAGAACTAACCTTAAGCAAGTTTGACAATGTGGTATGGCAAAGTGTGGCATTTCTAGACCTAGAACCAAACAGCCCCTTCACTCATTCATCCTGCAGCGTGCATAGGTCTCGAGAGCTTTTCTTTTCTTTCTTTTTTTGCGGGAGAAAAAAAAGCTCTTGGTTCATCTGTTGAGGACGAGTATTTAACCAAAAACTACCACAATTCACGGAACCGTGACGAAAAACTACCACTTTACGATTTTGTGCGAAAAACTACCGCTTTTTTCCTAAACCGTGGCAAAAAACTACCAAGTCTGAAAAGAGCCCGATTTGGCTCTTTTAAGCGCGTTTCTGACAGAGTTGGCCCACACTTAATAAGTGGGCTAAAAAAGCAATCGGGTCCCTATTTTTTTTCAAAAAGCAATCCAGTCCTTTCGCTCGATGCAACGGCGCGCGAGGAGGAGCTCGACGGAGTCCTTCTCGTGGTCCACGACGGCGTCGCTCGGGTGGACACGGCCGGAGCGCGGGCAGGGAGTGGGGCGCCCGCGGGCGAGCGCGGCGGGGCCAGGCGCGCGG